CCCCCTCCAAAATCAGTGGTCTTCCCGGGGGGCCCTCCTTTTGCCAACCGGGCGGTGCGGGGCACCCCACCCTTTTTTTTACCCCTTTCGTGCCTCGGGGAGCCTTTGTTTCAAGGAGGGAAAATACGGCTCTCGCAGCTGTGGCCCAGCGGAGAGCCCAGCGGGCGGTACAAGTCCATCAGATATGGTTCCCTATCTTCGCATACTCGTCGTTGGGGATATCCGCGGGAGGTCATTCCCCCCAGGCCAGCAATCCCTCGGCGATGAGACTACTGATTTGGCGCGACGCTCTGACACCGAGTGTTGTTTGACGCTGGGACCCCCCCGAGTTCCGCGTGCAGCGCTCAACCTCGCGGGGAGTACACCTCTCGCTATCATCCCGCTTCGCGGCGGTCGGGCTGCTTGATTGGTCGGAAGACACCCACATCTCTGCTGCTGGAGGAGAGCTTCCGATAATCATAGTGGGTTCGCGATGGACCAGCAGGGGGGCGGCGGCGGCGAAGAGGCGGGAGCTGGGTCCAGTGCGCTCTGCTGCTGGGGGGGTCGGGACCCCCCCCCCCCCCCCTAGCAGCAGGGACGGGCTTAGAAGTGCAGGGGGGGTACCGAGCAATGTGCGGCCGCTCCTGGGTGGCATACACAGATGGGTCAGAAGACCTAGGGGGGGCATGCCGGGTCAAGCTGAGACTGATGGTCGAGGCACCAGGGGTCGTTCTTCGCCCACAGCAGCAACTGACAGAGCAGGCGCAACGACGCCCGCCCGACTGGGTGGCATACACAGACGGGTCGGAGGACCTAGGGAAAGCAGGGTGGGCCTATGCAGTACTCATCGGGGGCGACGCCATCGGCGATGAGGGCGCGTCGCTGACGAGCGAGGGCTACGGGCCAGTTGTCACTTCGGCGGCGCACCCAGCCTACCTCGGCGCGCGTAAGCATACTAACAACACGGCGGAACTAACCGCCCTAGCCGAGCTCCTCCGGGCTCTCCTATCCTCGTCACCGCAACGAGCGGGCTCACGTGGAGTGGTGCGGACCGATAGCGAGTACGCGGCGGCATGCATGATGGGGCGGGTGACCCCCAAAGCGAACAGACAGCTGGCGGAGCGCCTTCGATCCCTCTGGCAACGCCTTCGCGCCAAACACACCGTGGCGTGGAGGCATGTGGAGGGTCACAGCGGCAACAAATGGAACGACTACGTCGACGAGCTAGCTGCTCGCGGCAGGCAGGGTGACAGAGGCTCAAACGCTGCCGAGTGGGCGGACGACACCATCCCGACTACAGCCCCAGCCAGCCCCGTCAGCCACCCCTCGCCCGCCACCGACCCTAAAGCCGCACCTCTGTCGCTAACCCTCGACGTGCCCCCCGAGTTCGAGCGATATGGTCCGATTACGTGCCGAGCGAGCAGGCGAGGGAGATCGGAGACGATCGGGGAGCGCGATGGCCGATGCGTACTACCCATGCCGTTCTTAACGGAGTCGCTTAGGCGGCTCCGGTGGTGTGCCGGTGATAGTACTAGCACGCGCCAGTTCGCACCTGTGTCGAGCCTGTCTGCTGTGAGAGAGAGTTGTTTTCTCTAAATTCTTTTCTGGCACTCGGCCGTCCCCGCCCCGTTCTCCGCCGCAACCGCAACCCACAACAACCGTCTTCTCGCGACCACCGCTGACACAGCCACATGTCGCGCGGGCCGTCGGTCGTCCTGCACGACTCGGACTATTCGGACTACTACGAAAAGCGGACGACACAGCCGTCTCGCAGGTCAGTGCTCATGACTCGCCTACCCCTTGCCTCGAGGAGCACACTAACCCTTTTGCCGGTTCGCCTCCCTTGACGCCTACAGCTCCAGCTCTTCGCTCAACATCGCCTTCGTCTGCCCTCCCCTCTCTGGGCACATGATCCCGCTGCTACACATTGCGGACGCTGTCGTCAAGCGAGGGCACCGCGTAAGGGTGCGGAGCATGGCCTAGCGAATACGTGCACACTGCGCTGCTCGCAACCACCACCGCATGCGAAACGCACGCTCCGGCGCAGAAGAGCCGCGACGTGAGAAATAGCGTGGTTGTGCGGTGCGTACGCAGGTCTTGTGCTGTGATTACGGTGAGGCGGAATTCGCTCCCAAGGCCAAGAAGCTGGGGTGTGAGTTTGAGGCTCTGGACACCGACGGCATGACGGCGGAGAAGGTGCATGAGCTAGCAGAGGTGAGTCTCGCACGCGCACGCATGAGGGGGCGGACTCAAGGGTAGATGCCCGCTCCCGCTGGGGCGCAGGCTGGCGGGACGACGCCCTTCGCGCCGCTGCTGCGACTAATGGAGGCTCCGATCCTTGCTGCGTGCGAGCGGGACCGGCCCGACCTCATCGTCGCGGACTTTGTCACCTTTGCCGCCTCCAAAGTCGCCCTGCAGATCGACATTCCTCTCGTCGTCAATGTACCGGGTGCGAGCGCCCTCCTCATACTGGCTGCGCGGCCTCCATGTACAGAGATGGTATAGGACTGCTCCTCTTAGTAAGCCAGGCGGAGGCTGTGCGGAGAGCCCGCTCCAAAAGGGACCGCGAGTGCCCTCGCCGCCCACCTGCCGCACGGAGAGTAGCAGCCTCCCCTCCCGCTCCCGCCCCCTCCTCCTCCTCCTCCTCCACCTCCGCCCCCTCCTCCGTGCTGCTCCTGCTATCGCTGCTGCTTTCGCTTTCGGCTTGCCTAGGCTTGCCGCCTACCCGAGCCTCCGCCCCTCGGGGCCCACCCCCGCCCCCCTCCCCCCCGCCACATCCCAAGGTCCGCTCTCGATGGTCAACTCGCTCCTCGGCCTGATGGACTCGTCGACGCACTCCGCCGCTTTTGGCTTCCACTTTGGGCGCACCACCTTCTCCATGTTTTCGGTGCTGGCCTTTTTCAACATCAAGGGCGTGCGCGACATGACCAAGCACCTCGGCGAGTACATTGGCGGCAGGGGCGCCCTCACGCTCGTCCAGACCGTCTGGGGGCTCGACCGGCCACAGCCGCTTCCACCGAGCATTGTCGTCACGGGACCCGTCCTTCCCTCGCCGGGCGACCTGCGGGAGACGCTCACGCGCGAGTACCCGGAGCTTCGGACATTCCTGAAGGGGAGTCCGACGGGCGTTGTCCTTGTCACGACGGGCTCGCTCGCGCAGCTCTATCCGTGGCAGGTCGAGGCCATCTTCCACGGGCTCAAGCAGGCAAAGTGCCGCGTCGTGTGGGGCCTGAAGGAGGCGGCGCAGGCCCACCTGCCCTCGAGCACCGACCCCGACTTTTACATCTCCAAGTGGATCCCACAGGCCGCGCTTCTGCAGGACAGTGCGGTGAGAGTGGTCATCACGCACTGTGGCTGGGGAGGCGCGCAGCTCAACCCACCCGTCGCATGGCGCGCCTGCCTCTCCTCGGGAGCCCCGCCGACGCGCCACAGGTACGCTCGAGTGTGTGGTCGCGTCCAAGCCAATCGTCGCGATCCCATTCTTTGGCGATCAGCCGGAAAATGCAAACCTGCTCGTCGGCGCCGGTGCGGGAGAGTACATTGGCAAGGTCCCGGCCGGCGGCATGGACATGAACCCTTACAAGGAGGGCGACTTCACGGCCAAGACCGTTGCCACCGCCGTCGCCAAGATTATGGCCAACCCCGACTATACCAAGGCGGTCGCGAAAATGGTGAGCCGAGCAGTGGAGAACGGCACGATGAGCCCGTACCCCTCCCCACAACGCCCGCCGTCCCAATCCAGGCCAAGTCGTCACGCGCGAGCGGCGGTGCGGAGGCGGCGGCGCAGCAGATCGAGTGGGCAGCCCGCTTCGGCACGTGCCAGCTGCACTACCCGCTCAAGCGGACCAACCCGCTGAGCGGCCTCCTCCTCGCCGCCGCCGGCTTTGCGGCGCTGGTGGGGTACAGGCTCGTGAGGAAGTGAAGTGTATGGGTCGAAGTTCTGGGCGGTGGGGGTGCCTTAGGGCGGCGCGCGAGTGTTTGAGCAAACGAGCATGCTTCATAAAAGCTTGCTAGCACAAGGCCACAATTGCCCGCAACGCGCTTTCTTTTTTCGTGGCAGCATTTGGTCTTGGTGTGTGGGGAAAATTTGCTACGGCTCTATTTGGGTCAATGTTGTACAGCAAAAACGCGAGAAACGGGGCAAACGCGAGAATTTTAGAATTTTTACGAAGTTACAATCACTTTAGGCTCTCCGTAGCTAGAGTACGTGGACCCCGAGGAGCTGGAGGGAGAGAGTGCGTTCCTGAGGCTGAGCCTGTTGCGGTGTGCGTAGGGTGCGCCCGCCCCCCGCCCCCCGGGGCGCGGGCCGGCGCGCGGCGCGGCGTCCGATGGGCAACCGATCGGCAGCCCCGCGCCGCGTGTCTGTGCCCCGGCACGCGGCAGCCTACCAGGTCGATCCGGAGCGAAGACCGAAGTGTACACGCTCACACACATACTGTACACATGCCCCTGGCCCCGCCTCACCTGAACACCTCCACAGCACCACACACAAAGTCACAGTCACACCACTCTCGACCACTCTCACCGTCGACCGCGGTTTCGTCGCGACACAACACCTCGACCCAAGGACAGTGTCACAGCCACAGGACAACATACCACACGCACAACCGTAGGTTCACAGGATACAAGGCACTGGCCGTCTGACATTCGCCTTCACGCCGGGGCGCGTCGAACCCCCGTCGCCGGTTCAGTAACTCAGGGTTTTTGCCCCTCCCGCAAAGAGCCGACGGAGGGCTGACAAGTCAACCGATGCCTCTGGCCCCCCTTGCCTCACGCGTACACCGACGCGCACGTGTTGCGCAGCGCGCCGTGGACGTTGCGCCGGTTGACGAGGTGGAGCTCCCGCACGTCGGCCAGCGTCGCGACGGGCAGGCTCTGTGTCGGGGACGAGGAGGCAGGGGGGGGGGGGGGGGGGGGGCCCCCGGGCTGGACTGGCCTGTTTGTCCAAAGGGGGGGGGGCCCCCGCCCCGGGCTTCCTTGTTTTTTTTTTAGGGGGGGGGTTTTTGGGGTTGACCTTTACCAGGCCCCTTCTAGGCCTCCCCGTCCCCGGTAACGCTGTTTTGGCCGGGGAAAACGAGGTACGGGGAAAATT